TCTGATATAGGGCTGACCATTATTGTGGCTGTTTGGAAGTTGCATTGACAAAGTACGCTGTGTTCATCACCGTTAACTTGGTTTTCTTAACTCTTTCACCGTGATATTTATTAAATGAATTTTTGAAGTTTTAGAAATGAATGATTATCTATCCTAAGAGTGTCCTCACAGTGTGGGGGTGTTGAAGCTAGGAGCTTCTGTGAGGTGGATAAGATACTGTTCATAAATAAAATATAAACTCCCCAGTCTATCCTAACTGAAAGAGGCACTGTGGCTTCTCTTTACATATTTTCTGGACCTTAAAATTAACACATGCTTGTTGTAGGTAATTTGGAAAATTCAGAAAACCTATGAAAATATAAATCAGTGATAATCAAACCAGTCAGAAATAATTAACTTTTTTTAAACTTTTTCTTCTTTTTTAAAATTTTATCATTTTTTGTTATACAGCAGGTTCTTATTAGTTATCTATTTTATACATATTAGTGTATACATGTCAATCCCAATCTCCCAATTCATCCCACCACCACCCCACACTCCCGCCGCTTTCCCCCCTTGGTGTCCATACGTTTGTTCTCTACATCTGTGTCTCTATTTCTGCCCTGCAAACCAGTTCACATGAAATGAAAATGTACCATTTTCTACATTCCACATGTATGTGTTAATATACGGTATTTATTTTTCTGTGACTTACTTCACTCTGTATGACAGTCTCTAGGTCCATCCACATCTCTACAAATGACACAATTTCGTTCCTTTTTATGGCTGAGTAATATTCCATTGTATATATGTACCACATCTTCCTTATCCATTCATCTGTTTATGGGCATTTAGGTTGTTTCCATGACCTGGCTATTGTAAAGAGTGCTGCAATGAATACTGGGGTGCATGTGTCTTTTTGAATTATGGTTTTCTCTGGGTATATGCCCAGTAGTGGGATTGCTGGGTCATATGGTAATTCTATGTTTAGTTTTTTAAGGAACCTCCATACTGTTCTCCATAGTGGCTGTACCAGTTTACATTCCATAGTGGCTGTATCAGTTTACATTCCCACCAACAGTGCAAGAGGGTTCCCTTTTCTCCACACCCTCTCCAGCATTTGTTGTTTGTAGATTTTCTCATGATGCCCATTCTAACCAGTGTGGGGTGATACCTCATTGTGGTTTTGATTTGCATTTCTCTAACAATTATTGATGTTGAGCAGCTTTCATGTGCCTCTTGGCCATCTGTATGTCTTCTTTGGAGAAATGTCTGTTTAGGTCTTCTGCCCATTTTTTGATTGGGTTATTTATTTTTTCAATATTGAACTGCATGAGTGGTTTATATATTTTGGAGATTAATCCTTTGACTGTTGATTCGTTTACAAATATTTTCTCCCATTCTAAGGGTTGTCTTTTCATCTTGTTTATAGTTTCCTTTGCTGTGCAAAAGCTTTTAAGTTTCATTAGGTCCCATTTGTTTATTTTTGATTTTACTTCCATTACTCTAGGAGATGGATCAAAAAAGATCTTGCTGTGATTTATGTCAAAGAGTGTTCTGCCTATGTTTTCCTCAAAGAGTTTTATAGTGTCTGGTCTTACATTTAGGTCTTTAATCCATTTTGAGTTTATTTTTCTGTATGGTGTTAGGGAGTGTTCTGATTTCATTCTTTTACATGTAGCTGTCCAGTCTTCCCAACACCACTTATTGAAGAGACTGTCTTTTCTCCATTGCATATCCTTGCCTCCTTTGTCATAGATTAGTTGACCACAGGTGTGTGGGTTTATCGCTGGGCTTTCTATCCTGTTCCATTGATCTATATTTCTGTTTTTGTGCCAGTACCATATTGTCTTGATTACTGTAGCTTTGTAGTATAGTCTGAAGTCAGGGAGCCTGATTCCTCCAGCTCCGTTTTTTTCCCTCAAGACTGCTTTGGCTATTCGGGGTCTTTTGTGTCTCCACACAAATTTTAAGATTCTTTGTTCTGGTTCTGTAAAAAATGCCATTGGTAATTTGATAAGGATTGCATTGAATCCGTAGATTGCTTTGGGTAGTATAGTCATTTTCACAATATTGATTCTTCCAATCCAAGAACATGGTATATCTCTCCATCGCTTTGTGTCATCTTTGATTTCTTTCATCAGTGTCTTATACTTTTCTGAGTACAGGTCTTTTATCTCCTTAGGTAGGTTTATTCCTAGGTATTTTATTCTTTTTGTTGCAATGGTGAATGGGATTGTTTCCTTAATTTCTCTTTCTGATCTTTCATTGTTAGTGTATACAAATGCAAGAGATTTCTGTGCATTAATTTTGTATCCTGCAACTTTACCAAATTCATTGATTAGCTCTAGGAGTTTTCTGGTGGCATCTATAGGATTATCTATGTATAGTATCATGTGATCTGCAAACAAAGACAGTTTTACTTCTTCTTTTCCAATTTGTATTCCTTTTATTTCTTTTTCTTCTCTGACTGCCGTGGCTAGGACTTCCAGAACAATGTTGAATAATAGTTTCAACTATTGAAATAATTTCAATGGCAAGAGTGGACATCTTTGTCTTGTTCCTGATCTTAGAGGAAATGCTTTCAGTTTTTATGTTTAAATACATTAGTGAAATTACAAGGAAGTTTTTTCTTGAGATGTGGTATCCAGAATGTCATGCAGTTTTCTAGGTAAAGATGTTATCTTGAAAACACTCCAAAACAGAATCAGTTGTGAAAGTGACTTACATATTCAGGTGCTAAATCTACAACACTCAGGTCATAAGGTTCTGAACATCATTAAACTTTTCAGAATTAGATATGAAACAAAGACTCAGGTTTGAGAAGAGGGGCTTCTAATATCTCCAGTCAAACTATCTGAAAGAAAACCCCAGATTTTCATTGATTTACATAGGGTCAAAGTTAATCGGCTGATTAACAGTTAACTCACCAAATTGTCAAAATTACCTAAATCACTGCCTTAGGGAATTTTCAGTTGTTTCTTCACAAAACACATTTATGGTGTTATCAAAGCAGTTAGTATTAGATTGATTTGCTTGTATCTTTCCTACTAGTGGAGATTAAAAGCGAGGCCTGGGAGGAAACTTTTGGAGGTGATGGATATGTTCATGGCATAGATTGTGGGGTTGATTTTCATGAGCGTATACTTATCTCCAACACTTCAAGTTGTTTACATTAAATATGTACAGCTTTTGAAACGTCAAGCATACTTCAATAACGTGGTTAAAAAAGAATCATTTGGATAGAATTGGAGAGAGGAAGTAGGATTTATTTTGATTGTTTAGAGAAAATATAGACCTTGAGCTCTCGTGTACCAAGAGCTTCATATGAGGCCATTTGTGATGGGCCAGAAGACCTTGCACAGCCTCATATTTTAAGAACCCAGCAGAAATAACTCCCCAGATTCAGATTATTCTCCTTTAGATGACTGGACCACTGCGTCTGAACGAGATTCTAAAATAAAACTGAGGCTGTGAAGTTTCTTTTTAGTTAACTCAATTGTGAAGTATGACATGCAACAGAGAAGTGCTAAAAATAAATGAAGAGCCCAAGGAATGCCCATCTAACCTTCCCAAAACCCCCCAACAAGAGAATATTTTAAGCACCTGAGAAGCTATCCTTTTATTTCTCCCAATTACCAACACCTTCTAACTCCCCAAAGTGAAGTACTGACTCTGAACCCTATGACTTGATCGTAACTATGTTCAAACTTAGTATAAAGGGAATCATAAATATTCTTTGGGGTCAGGCTTAAGTTTGTGATGCACCTGTGTTGTTGATGTTCAACTGCTTTCATTGCTGGGGGATATTCTATTAGATCACACTCCACTTTCCTTCTGCAGTTGATGTGCATTTGGATTATGTCCAGTTTGCGGCCACTAGGAATTAGGTTTCTAGGAACATCCTTGAGCACATGTTTATGTTCGGAGCAGGATTAACAGATCACAGGGTGTGCATTTTGAGTAAATGCTGTCCAACTGTTTTCCAAAGGCTTTTTCTTCAATATACACTTTTTTCGCACACAGAGTAGCGCACAAGAGTTCCCACTACTCCATCAGCACTCAGTTCGTAGTCTCAACCTTTTTAACTTTAGCCGTTCTACCTGGTGTTTAGCGGTATCTCGCTGTGGTTTTAATATGCATTTCCTTGGTAACTAATGAGACTGAGCACTTTTCCAGTTATTGACCATTTGGATATTCTCTTTTCTGAAGTGCCTATTTGAGTCTCTTGTCCATTTCTCTAATTGGGCTTTCTGCGTTTTTCTTTTTTCTTTGCCTTACGCGGGCCTCTCACTGTTGTGGCCCCTCCCGCTGCGGACGCGCAGGCTCAGCGGCCATGGCTCACGGGCCCAGCCGCTCCGCGGCATGTGGGATCCTCCCGGACCGGGGCACGAACCCGTGTCCCCTGCATTGGCAGGCGGACTCTCAACCACTGTGCCACCAGGGAAGCCCCTCTGTGTTTTTCTTAATGAGTTTTAGGAGTTCTTTATTTTCTATGGTACTGGTTCTCAGACTTCAGAATGCATCAGAATCATCCTTCGGCCTTGTTAAGACAGACTACTAGTCCCTACCACCAGTGTTTCTGATGCAGTAGACATGGGGTGAGACACAGAATGTGCATTTCTAACAAGTTCCCAGGTGATGCTGATACTGCTAGCCTAGTGACCATACTGTGACAATACACGTCCTACAGGTGTTTTAAATGTAGCAGCAACAGATGTTTCTTGTTAGTTTAGGGCAAAAAACAAAAAAAAACCCAAAAACTTCAACAATTGACTACTTGGTTCAAGCTTGGGACATAAGTTAATACTTTCCCTTTATGGAAGGGGTACAACTGGGATTACTTCAGCAGCAACTGTTTAAATCTGTCTGATACCCTCCTCTCTGCATAGAGTACCTGGGGTACCTACTTAGCCAAGAAACCAGTTGATAATAGATATTTTATTATCTCAGGGAACCTCACTGGCTTTCAACAGCAAGGACATGAGTCAGTTATACCTCTAAAAATAAAAATACAGATCTCTGGAGATGAAAACATTTATTTCAATTGAATTTTGTTTCATTAAAAAACTCTACAATGACATTAAAAAAGAAATAAAATAGAAACATATTTAACTGCCTTTAAAGACCAAATAAACCTCTAAAGACCAAATAAACACATATACATTTCAAATATTTCCACTGTTTTAACAAACCTCAATATTATCCTTGTTGTCATGTCAGTCTCCTGAAATAAGAACCGCGACTATTACACAATTTACTGGACTAAACATTAACCGTATTATTTCTAAATACCAACTGCACTCAGTGTATTCTGGTAGGTTGCTGAGTGTGTGGTTTTTAAGGCTTCATTCTATGAGACATCTGTTTCTCTCTGTTACAGAACCCCAAAACCGGCTATCAGAAGGCATATACGTGTGTGTGTGTGTGTGTGTGTGTGTGTGTGTGTGTGTGTATAATATATATATAAATATATTCCATTTGAGGGCGGTTATGCCTTATTCTGAGAGCACACGTAAAACCAGGACAGTAAAACCTTTAGTAACTTGAACACACCATATCATAGCCACCACCATCAAGAAAAGCTAAGGACCCATAGTTCAAACAAAGTACGGCAGGCCCTAGGAAGTATTGTGGCTTGTTGATCTACTGATCAGAAAGAGCTAAACAAAGTACAGTTAGTGGTCAGAAGTAAACGAACCTAGCTAGGCAGGCTCACGAAAGTGAACCTTCTTGATGCAGCCTGAGAACATACTGCATAAATACAGTCAATGTATGCAACGTCTTTCTGTTTTTCTCACCAAGTCAGGAGAGCCCATGCATGTGATTTAGAAAGGATTTCAATGACGGGCAAAGCAAAAGCCTTATGTCAGCAGAGGGTCAAGAGTCAATTGACCGTCAATTGAGGGTCAATTACAGTTAGCAGCACGGCCTTTTTGAAAGTATCACCAAGCTGAGTCTAAAACTGCAAGATATCACGTAGGAGCCACGAAATCTAGAAGACGATTAATGATAACACGTGTCCATCACTATCAAATCCCCTAGAAGGGCTCCTATTTTCTGAAAGCATTTTCTCTTCCATCTCTTTTAGAAAATATAATTAAATACTGACCTTCTGTATTTTAACCATTTATCTTTTTTTTTTGGGGGGGGGGCCTCTCCTACTATAATGCCACTTAAACTAAAGTGTATTTTTTGTTTTTCCTATTAGTTTTTTCTGTACTAGTTTAGCCAGAGGTTTTGGGCAGGGAATAGTGGATCCTACTTATGTTAAAGAAAGTGGTAAGGCAAAATGATAACTTCCACAGTCTTCAAGTAAATAGAATCCCTGATATAACTGGAAAGTAATATGTAATTTGGGGGCAGTAAAAAACATCTATGACAACTTTGTCTTATACCTTAGAAAATGTGCTTTGGCTCTGGAGTCTCTTTAAGGCACAAAACCTGGTAAACAGCTTTTATTGGTGGCCTGTACCTCTGATTTAGATAAGACAAAAAATACTATAACGTATAAATAACAATAATAAATCATTTTGTTAGAGCTTGAAATCATTGGGTAAAGTGGAGGAAAAAAATCCAAATAGACGAACAACTTGTATGTAAATATTTGTTGCTGGTGTAAAAACAAAGTAAAGTGTAGTTTACACAGTGCAAAGACTATTGGAAAAATGTCTTTGGAATAGACTTGACCTCATGGTAGAATCACAGTGCTGTCTCAAAAATTGTTAAGGCTGGGGGCTGTCCATTGGAAGCATTCATAACCACATGCCCATTGTGAGTAATTTCTGGATAATTCCTTTTGAAGTACACCTGAAAAAAAAAAAGACAGGTATAAAAACATGTTTAAAAGTTTTAAAGTCCTCCTCCATAAAGCAGCGCATTTCTTTTGTTTTTTAAATTTATTTATTTAATTTATTTATTTTTGGCTGCACTGGGTCTTCATTGCTGCATGCAGAGCTTCTCTAGCTGTGGCGAGCGGGGGCTACTCTTTGTTGCGGTGCATGGGCTTCTCACTGTGGTGGCTTCTCTTGTTGCAGAGCACAGGCTTCAGTAGTTGTGGCCTTGGGCTCAGTAGTTGTGGCTCGTGGGCTCTAGAGCACAGGCTCAGTAGTTGTGGCACACGGGCTTAGTTGCTCCGTGGCATGTGGGATCTTCCCGGACCAGGGCTCGAAACCCTGTCCCCTGGATTGCCAGGTGGATTCTTAACAACTGCGCCGCCAGGGAAGCCCCAAGCAGTGCATTTCTATGTCCACTTTTCATGTGAAGCAATCCCATCACTAGTGGAGGAACAATTGAAAAAACCAGGGACGTATTTATTCTGTGGAGGAAGTAGCCCCATTAAAACCCTCAGTGGGGCTGGGCCTAATGCCAAACAACCTGTAGACCCACTTGAGTTCTGATCATTCTGATTCACAGATATGCTTTATCACTACATTAAATTGATAAGTGAAATCATTTTACTGACTCAAAGCCTGGCGATAAATTAAAAACAGGGTGACAAAGAGGCTGGGAAATCTAGCGTCTGCATGAGGGTTTCTCATTTTCACACACAAAATGAGCACAATAGATTTGGATGTTAATATCAGGTTGCAGTCCCTATATTTTATAAACTCTGATGACAAGCATTGAAACGCTGGCGTATATGTATGAAGTATCCTGGCGTTTAATTTGTGCGGCAAAGCAGTTATAGGGCCTATAGAAATGTGATCTGTGGATAGTGGGATATAAGAATGAAAAGAGCATCAAAAGCTTTAAGAATGACTCAACCAAGCAACTTCTCTAAAATGGAAGATGATACCAAATAATAGGACAGGTCTTTGCCAAGCCTTTGAGTTCTTGAATTCTACCAATTTCTAGCTGAACTGGAAGAGATACAGGTTTTCTGATAAATGTATAGTCAGAACACAATGGAAATGAAATGCTGTCAAGATTGTCTGTTCCACAATCATCAGTTTTTAGTAGCTGTATCGTATCTCAGTTCCTTGACAGATGCACAGAACAAAATGAAATAATGTCAAGTCTTGTGAGCTCTTATCTCTAAATGTGTTTGGGTGAAAAAGGACTTCAAAAGTAATTTTTCTTTCCCCCAAAGAAGAATGTGAAAAGTTTTGTTTGAGTCTTTAAAACAGAAAATGTACCATCTATCTGAGGCTTGCTCGTGTCACGTGCTGAGGTGCTTAGTCATATGAGTTCAGATCTATTTTACAAAACCTGACTCCAAGTACATTTGTGGGTGCTGTCAACAAAGTTATCATGAGAGATAGTGGACGTCACATATGAAATGGAAAAGCTATGAGACACCTACCTTCATATTATGTGTACTTTCTTTTTCTCTTATTGCTTGCATACTTGCTACCCCCAAAACAGCGCTACATATGAAATGCTGTATATTAAAATGTCACTTAAAAGGAGAAAAATAAGAATTTCTCCAAGAATGCTTGGATCCGACTGGATGAAATTCGAGGCTATTTCCATTATAATGCAAGGATTTAAAAATAAAGCTTTTGGGGGAGCTAATTGCAGTTCATCCCCCTCCTCAATTTTTTTTTAAATAGCCATACTTGTGTGGTTAGTATTTATATACTCTGTTGGTGAAAGAAAAAACAGCCAGAAGAGCAGAAGGGAATTAATTTCATTTCCTACTGCCTGACAGCCACCCCTCCCCCATCGACCTGGTTCCTTTCTCCATACCCCTTTCTCAGTGTAATTTTTTATTAAAAATTTTTTATTATTAGCAATTTTTAACCAAAACGGTCTTCATTTCATGGTCTGAAATACTTGGAACTGAATAATGAAAATGAGCTTCCTATGTATAAAATCCTTGATTTGACCTTTCTTTTCCTCATCTGTTGCCATGGTGTAGACTACACTCTGGCTGACAGCACAAGTGAGAGAAGCCATCTTTTTCACAGGGCGGGTTATGAAGGGAGTTGAGATGACTGAACGCTTGATAGCAGAGTCCTTGTGGATGGGTTGAGCCTGGGATGGAGAGGCCCAAACTCACCTCTCTCTCCTGGGACCACTGCTGACCTTGGAAAAATCACTTAAGCTCTCTCTGCACCAGCTGCCTCATTTGTGAAACGAGACAATGACTTACCTCATAGGAACTAATTGATGGCTACAAACTGCAGGTTGAAAACACGCTGAGCTAAGTGTTGGGTGTGATTATGATGCTGCTCAGAGACGTGGTCCCTTAAGTCCACAGAAAGCAGCAGCATCACCCAGCTTAAATGATGAAAACAAAACATCTAGGAGGCCCTTTTGTGAATCTTTTGATTTTTATCTTTCTAGAAGCGCAGGGTCGTAGTTACTACACATTTTATTCAGTAAATATAGTAGCCCGGGAGGCAGAAAATAGTTAAAAGATTACTAACACTTTCTAACCTGTGACTTTGAGAAGTTCCTTAGCCCCTTCTGCCTCAGTTTCTCGATCTGAGGGATAATACTACCATCTCAGAATGGCTTTAATGAGGATTAAAAGAGACAATGCCAAAAAAGTTCAAATTCTGGCCAAGCAGAACATAAGACCAGTGAGTGTTGGGTTTGAGCCTTTTCCTGTCCTTCTTTGGGTTTAGTTCATTATAGTTCCTCCAATGTAGGTTGAAACTAAGTTTAGTATTTAAACTCCAACTTGTAAACAAAGCCACCATCATGAAATTAGATCTTAGTAAAAGCAACAGAGCAATAAATGCTCCCCTGCACGGATAAAGGCCAGCAACCAATGGTTCAATATATGTAGAATTATGGTTCAAGAATCTGTCCATTCATTCTCCCTGAACTGCACGGCCCTAGTTCAAGCCCAGCAACCCTCAAACCCCTCATCTTTAAAGCAGGTCTAACTTTGTGGACATACTGACAGATATATTATCAAAGTTAAAGAGTGCTGGAGAGTAAGAGACGATTTCTCCTTTTAACTTAACGGAATATTGGATTTTTTCCTCCCCTTATCCTCTCAGAAATCACTCTCAACAGCAAGGATAGTGGGAGATTAAAAAGTAAGCCCGGGGCTTCCCTGGTGGCGCAGTGGTTGAGAGTCCACCTGCCGATGCAGGGGACATAGGTTTGTGCCCTGATCCGGGAAGATCCCACATGCCGCGGAGGGGCTGGGCCCGTGAGCCATGGCTGCTGAGCCTGTGCGTCCGGAGCCTGTGCTCCGCAACGGGAGAGGCCACAACAGTGAGAGGCCCATGTACCACAAACAAAAACAAAAACAAAAACAAAAACAAAACCAAGCAAGCCCAATATCTGATGAAATCAGGAATCATTTGAAATCACAACTGACAAAATATCTAGATGGACTGCCTTATGCAACTGGATCCAATGGGCTCTAGCAAGACAGAGAGAAAGTACCTAAAGAGAGCAGATCTCAGCAATCATGGGAGAGCACAGTTGTCCAATTAACTGGCGAATTCTAAGGTGTCCATGAGGAATCCTATAGAATCACCATCTTTGCCTAAAGCATGAACACTGGTAAGGTCCTAGGACAAGAGAGATTCTGAAATGCAAGCAGCATTGTAACTGCCCATCTCTGAAGGCTAGGGAGGAGTACAGGCTAAATGAATATGTATTATCAATTTCTCTCTCACACTCACTCACTCACTCTCTTTCTCTGGATCATGGGGAATGCTTCTATGTTAAGCAGAGGGAATACCCTTTAGTCTGAAATGATGTGCTAGCCACAACTATCTAGCAAATATATGGTCTTAAAAAAACGAAATTTAAAAGTGAGTAGTAGGAATAATAATAAATAAAAAAGTAATACAGAATTTGTAAAACACACAAACAAAAAATTAGGAAAAGTAACAGGATAAGCACATGATGGATGAAAGAAGTAATCACTGAACAGATGAAAATTATGAAAAAAATAATATTACATATTTAAAGAAAATGTAGTAGAATAATCAACCCGTGGAGGCAGAGATCTGAGAGTACAGGAAAACACGGCACAGCAACAAAAGATGAGACATGAATTGACAGATGCCAAAGTGAAAAGGAAGATAAAAACGAAAACATCAAAGAAATGACAGTTCTGAAGGCTGCACAAAGATCAGTCACTACCGAACAAACAATATGAGACACGGAGGATAGAACTGAGAAAGCAAGTCTAATAATTATAAATTAATAAAAATTTTAAAAAGATTAAGGAAATAATAGCTTTACGAAACAAAGGACAATATATACATTATAGATATTTGTAAAGAGAATCCAATCAACTAAAACAAATTCAAAGGTATAATTCAAATAAACTCCCTAAAATAAAAGACTAGAAGCTAGTGACCAAGAGTCTGTGATGTTCTAGGAAAAACAAATGACTTTCAAAACAGAAAAAGAATCCTCTGAGTATCCAGGAAAGATCAAGTTATGTCCAATGTGGCCTTAGACTCCTACACGTGAATAAACAATGCTGGAAGACCTTATAGCAAAGATTACAACACAATAAGTGAAAGGACGTGTGATCCAAGAATATTATAACCAGAAATATAAACTGGTGATGTAGCATAAAAATATTTCATATAGGTGACCCTTGAGCAATGTAGGGGTTAGGGACCCTCCACATAGTCGAAAATCCAAGTAAAACTTTACAGTTGCTCCTTCATATTCACAGTTTCACATCATGCATTCAACCAACTGCAGATCATGCAGGATTATAGTACATATTTACTGGAAAAAAAACATATACGTGGACTCCTGCAATTCAAATCCCTGTTGTTCAAGGGTCAACTCTATAGACAATAAGGCGGGGATTCTTAACTCCAATGACCCTCCTTTATGATGGTATAGAGATTTGTTTTCAACCTTTCATTTGTACT